AAAAAAAAAAAAAAAAAAAAAAAAAAAAAAAAAAAAAAAAAAGAAGTAAAAGAAAATCCCAGTACTTTGGGAGGCTGAGGTGGATGGATTCCTTGAGCTCAGGAGTTCAAGACTAACCTGGGCAACGTAGTCTCTACAAAGCATAAAAAATTAGCTGGGCCTGGTGGTATGCCAGCTACTCAGGAGTCTAAGGTGGGAGGATCACTTGAGCCCAGAAAGTTGAGGCAACAGTGAGCTGTGTTGATGCCAGTGCACCCCATCCTGGATGACAGAGCATGATTCTGTCTCAAAAAAGAAAAAAGACAAGCAATTAAAAATACCAAATTTAGTCATCAACTCGCAATCCATATCATGTCTCAGTGATGACATCGTTCATTACTCAGTCCTCCTCAAAACTCCAGTCACTGGCTTCTTGGACTCCTCTTTCAATTCCTCTACCTCATTGGCGATATCTTTCAGTCGCCTTTGTTGGTTTTTCCTAAAGGTGGAGAGTCCTTCACTGTGTGGCCCTTGCTTAGCTCCCTGGCCTTATTAGAACTACTACCCTCTGTCTTTCTAGGTGCCTGTTATTTTGAATTAACTTGCAGTTCTTAGTTGTGATACTTTAAACTTACTAGTAAGCTTAAAGTATCTCTAGGTAATAGGGAGTTATTAAAGGAGACCAACTTTACAGTTATTCAGGTGAGTCCAAGCTTATGGTAGAGAGGAGAGAACAAAGTAGATGTAGCTTCAGACAGCAAGGAAATAGAGCAGGCAGGGCTTAGGTACTGATGCTGGAGAGGGAGAAGGCAAGACAGACTCAGGTTTCTCACTTGGGCAACTGGGATTGATGGCAGCATCTTCAGTAAGATAGAAAATACAACAGGAGTAGTTTCCATGGGCAGAAGCTAGGGTAAAGAAGACAGTGATGGATATATTGGGTTTCACAGGATTACTGGACATTCAGGGGAATAGTTGACTCTGTCAGTCTGGATTTCTCTGGAGCAGAGGCCTGGGTTGAAGATAGAGAACTAGGAGTTATTAAGAATGCAGTAACCTAATGGAATAAAGTGAAAAGGGATGAGGAAGGAGAGTAGAACTCTTAGGGAATGGCACATTGAAGAGACGGATGGAGAAAGTAAAGGAGCAATGGGAGAGAGACAGAGACTAGAAGAGAGGAGTATCAGAAGTATCAGAAAAGCCAAGGAAGGAGAAAATGTCGAGAAAGTATTCAAATTTTGCAGAAAGGTATGCAAAATGTTATTTTGCTTTAACAAATTTTTTTATAAAAAAATTTGGGCTAGTCCCATGGTAGTGAATTGTCTCAGTTGATTGTTCAGTCAGTTACAGATAAAACTCCTATTCTGCTCTTTCTCCCCTTTTCACTATTGCCCTTAACAAGGCTTAAAATTTTTTTAAAGTAGAGCTGGGCACAGTGGCATATGCCTGCAGTTCCAGCTACTCAGAGGCTGAGCTGGGAGGATTGCTCGAGCCCAGGAGTTCCAGTCCAGCCTGGGCAACATGGTGAGACTCCATCTCTTAAAAGAAAGAAAGAAAGGAAAGTTGATAGTCCTGGTAAATAGCAACCTGAATGGAACATGCAGGGTAAAAGCAAAATTATGGTTGAATTATTTGGAGGAGCAAATAGGCCATTCTTTTCTAGTTCTTCCTTACAAAATTGGGTGCTTCTAATACACAGAGACCATGTCTTACATACCCTTCCCTCTGCAGTGCTGTGCTTGACTTATATTTATTTGGTAGTGTGCTTCTATTAATATAGCTCCAATCACTTGTTTTAGCTTTTTGATCAGCAACTCCACATCGATGACTAATTAAACTTTTAAGTCTTTTTCATACATACTTTTGTTGAGCTTTGTCATTCTCCAATCCTATCTTTGTGTGATTTGCATTTAGTATTCAAGTACATTTGTGTTAAATATTCATATTAAACGTGTTAAATTCAACCCATTATGACAGTTTTTCTGGGTTTCTTTTTTGGATTCTAGTTTTGTCATTTGAAATAATCCATTTTATTGTGTTTCTGATGTTTCTGTTTTTGTTTTCTAGTATAAAACAAGCAAAGAAGGGAGTGTAATGGGAGTTACAGTGTCCCGGCTTTCAATGTTGTCTCACTGCCAAGCTCTGTCGCAGGCCTGCAATTATTCTGAAGGTCAGACCTCATCCCATGACTGCCCTCATTGTTACCTTCAGAGATGTGTGACTGTGAGAACAATGCTCAGTGATTGGACCTCATTTAATGACTAAATTCAGAGTGAAAATGTCCCAAGACACATTCTTGGCTTGCTTCTGTTTTCTTCTTTCACAAAAATATGCTGTAGTTTAAAGGAGCTAAAATTCTGGGCAAACCAAAATGTAAAGCATAATTTCTAGAATACAGCAATAGAAAACCCTAATTAAAATCATGTTTTTATTAGCTGTGAAATGTCAGGTGTCTCCATCTTCCCCTGCCTATATAGTGGGCTACCAGCTATACATTTGGAGTCAAAGAAATTCAGCTACCAAAAGAATAAATTAAAACACAAAAACGTATTCTGTATTTTCGAACTTTAGGTAGGTTGATACATATTGCGTAAACCACTATTTGCCTTATAATGTTCTTTGCAATGTTAATTTTTTTAGCATTTTATCTTCCTTTTGTAAAATGAAACGAGTTAATAAATGCTCAAGATAGAACAATATTGTTGTCTGGTTAAAATATATATATATGTGTATATATATGTGTGTGTGTGTATGTATATATATATATATATATATATATACACACACACACATAAAATATATATAAAATGGGAGCAATCAAAATGCCCTCAAATAACGATTGATTAGGTTATAATACATTCAGGCCAGGCACCATGGCTCACGCCTGTAATCCCAGCACTTTGGGAGGCTGAGGCATACAGATCACCTGAGGTCAGGAGTTTGAGACCAGCCTGGCCACCATGGTGAAACCCAATCTCTATAAAAAAATAACAAAAATGAGCCAGGCATGATGACGTGTGCCTGTAGTCCCAGCTGCTTGGGAGGCTGAGGTAGGAGAATCATTTGCACCCCGGAGACAGAGAGTGCAGTGAGCCAAGATCATGCCACTGCACTCTAGCCTGGGTGACAGAGACACTGTCTCAAAAAAAAAAAGTTATAATTTATATAATGACTGGGGCATTGAAATTTTTATTTTTGAATATTAAAGATATGGAGAAATTTTTTCAATATATCATTAAGTAGGAACAAGTTAGAAACCAAGCTTTGTATACCAATTTGTTATGTTAGATATCTATCTATATGTAAATGTGCGTAGATGTATATGTGTGTGTGTATAGATAGAATGTTTAGATATATATATATACTCACCAACTTTATTTTTTTTTGGAAATGTCTTTTAGGAAATTTAAAATATATTTGTCAAACTTCCCAAGTTTCTAAAATAAGCATGTGTTCTCTACATAATTAGGAAAAAGAAACCTCTTGGAAGAAGTGCCTAAGTCACAAGAAGTTTCTAACTCCTTGTCTCTGCTGTAACCACATTACTGTATGAGCAGTCCTCTACCCATTTTGAGGAGACCCTCAAAAGCTCCTGAGAACTTTTAGCCATTTCTCTAAAAGCATCAAATCAGGCTGGGCACTGTGGCTCACGCCTTTAATCCCAGCACATTGGGAGGCTGAGGCAGGAGGATTACTAGAGGTCAGGTATTCAAGACCAGCCTGGCCAACATGGTGAAACTCTATCTCTACTAAAAATAAAAAATTAGCTGGACATGGTGGCATATGCCTGTAATCCCAACTACTCGGGAGGCTGAAGCAGGAAAATTACTTGAACCTGGGAGACAGAGGTTGCAGTGGGTTAAGATTGTGTCAGTGCACTCCAGCCTGGGCGACAGAAGCAAGACTCCATCTAAAAAAATAATAATAATAAAAATAAATCAGTTGTTTATTAGTGGCAAGTGACACGATTTTGCTACTTAACACTACAGATGATTTCTTTGTCTTCCTATTTTTTTTTCTATTTTAGGGGAAACAATAGTAAATGTCTTAGACTTTAAGAAGGATGCTGGGCTGTGGCACGGCATGTTTGCGGTAAGCTACTTAGATTTAAGGCCCTTAGTATGAATTGTGTTTGAGATAAGGCCAGCATGCTGTGTAACTGGAGCATCTCTCAGTGCTTGTGTGAAATTTAAGCTCCCAAAAGATCAGTAATATTTTCCAGAGGATATATAACCTTTCCATTGGACAGAATGTTTTGAATGACTGCCATGGATAAGCTGCATGCCACAACTGAAGAAGAGTAACGAGGTAGATGGGGATTATTCCTATCAGAGAGGAACAGGTAACATACTATGGGTGTTAGAGAAAGGTGACTTCCTTCCAGTCTGGGCTTCAAGGCAGTTTTTATGGAAGAAGTCACAGCAGAGTTGGACTTTGAAAAATAGGTAAGTTTTAGACATATAGAGATTTTTGTAGAGGTAGAGAGAAGGGACATTTCAAGTGGCGAAACTACCATATGTAACATGCCATGTAGGTGGAGAGAGAAACAAGAAAAACCCTGGCATCCCAGAATTGAAAAGGTCCTCAGGGAGCATCTAGTCCCACTTCCTTAGATATTGCAGGAGCTGGGAAAGCATTAGATATGAATCGTGAGGGAGGAGGAAGTGGATCCCTTTTCACTCAGAACCCTTGGAATCCTCAGTGTACTTACTTTCTAGCACTTTTCTGAAAACTTTCCCATTTTCTTTTTTATCAGAAGTTAAAAATCCTTTTGAGGAGTTAAGAAGAATCTCTTCCTTGTGATACCAAGTGAAAGATAGGGACATGTGTGAAGAATGAGTTATTAACACCAGCCTTTTCCTGAAACGAAAAGTTTGTCACCAGAGCTAGAAACCTGGAAGAAGAAAATAGTATCTTGCAGTGGTATCTTGGTTTCTTTGGGCAAATTAGAGAGTGAGCAAAATGGCTAATTGAAATAACAAGATTTGGTTATTCTGCCAGGCTGGGTCTCTTTGGGGACAGGGTGTCTTGGGTATTCTTGATTAGAGTGGCAGGAGAGACACTGAATTGCATGAACCCTCAACACCTTCAGCTTTATCTGACCAAACAAATAACAGGTGTAGGCAGGACCTCCGTAAAAAATAGGGACACTGATTTCTTGCTTTGTGATGCTCACCTACCCCTTTGTGGCATGTGGCAAGTATGAACACGATAAAAGCATTAAGTGGGTTGGAGGGCAGTTTGGCAGTGTCTGTTAACATGTAAAAACCATATACCACAGCCGGGCACTGTGACTCACCCCTGTAATCCAGCACTTTGGGAGGTGAAGGCAGGCAGATTACCTGAAGTCAGGAGTTCCAGACCAGCCTGGCCAACATGGTGAAACCCCGACTCTACTAAAAATACAAAAATTAGCTGGGCATGGTGGCACATGCCTGTAATCCCAGCTACTTGGGAGGCTAAGGAAGGAGAATTGCTTGAACCCAGGAGGCAGAGATTGCAGTGGACCGTGATCACGCCACTGCACTTTAATAAATGAATGAATGAATGCATCACGTATATACCAGTCCCAGCTGCCCTGGAGGCTGAGGCAAGAGGATCACTTGAGTTCAGGAATTGGAGGCCAGCCTGGGCAACGTAGTGAAACCCCTGTCTCTTTTTTTAAGAAAACAAAGGCTGGGCACAGTGGCTCATGCCTGTAATCTCAGCACTTTGGGAGGCCAAGGCAGGTGGATCACCCAAAGTCAGGCAAGACCAGCCTCACCAACTTGATGAAACCCCGTCTCTACTAAAAATACAAAAAATTAGTTGAGTGTGGTAGTAGGCGCCTATAATCCCAGCTACTTTAGACTGAGGCAGGAGAATCGCTTGAACTTGGGAGGTGGAGGTTGCAGTGAGCTGAGATCATGCTACTGCATGCCAGCCTGGGCGACAGAGAGACTGTCTCA